GCGCCCCCCGCGGCTTGCCGCCCCAGGCACGTGCTTGGAGCGCTGGTTCCTGAAGCCGCCGCTGTGTGTTCTCTGACCGTGACACCATGAGAATCCACACTTTGGGTCTTGCTCCATGCCGGGGCGGGAGGGGGGTGTCTTCTTGACCCTGTTTCTCGGTGGCGTAAGGTAACTTTCATAATTAAGGAAGGAGAAACCTAGGGTTTGCTCAAGCAGCCTCCTCGGAGAGGGCACGCAGGAATCATAGAGCTACGTGTTGTTGGACTAGAGGCAGGAATCCCTGCAATACTGCCGCTCTCTCAACTCGCCAGTTTTGAACACGATCTTAAAATTCATGAGATTTCTTTTTAAAAAAATACAGCTTGGGTGGTTCTTATTTGCCGTCGGGTTCATATTGTCAAGCTTTTCTGACCGCTGTAAAATGGATTGTGCAGCCGTCACGCCTGGAATTAAGTAATAACCTTTTTCCCCATTAGCTGAACTATCGCATGCATTAAACAGTTTTCAAAAAGGCTGTTTTCTCTGCTGCTTCTATTCCAGCGTGTGTCCCAGAAAAGCTAGAAGTGGGGCCGTCGGAGCTAAACACGCATTTGCAGAACTTACCGTATTATCATTACTTATTGGTTTGCGATAGCACCCAGGCGACTCAGTGATAAATCAGGCCCCCATTGTGCTAGGCGCTGTACAGACACAGAACACAGCCCATGCCCCAAAGAGCTGACAGTCTAAGACAAGAGACCACAGACACAGGCACCGACTCCATGGGTGCTCAGGGGCTGGAGCACCCACAGGGAAAAATTAGTGGGTGCTCTGCACCCACCGGCAGCCAAGCTCTCCTCCTCTCCCGTCCCACCTCCTCCTCCTGCTCCCCCCCTCTCCTGAGCGCGCCGCGTCCCCGTTCCTCCGCCTATCTCCCAGCGTTGCCCGCCCGGCCGCTGCCAAACAGCTGTTTGGCAGCATTAACACGCTTCTGGGGTGGGAGTGGGGGGAAGAAGCGGGAACATGGCACGCTCCAGTGAGGAAGCAGGAAAGAGGCAGGGCTGGGGCGGGGATTTGGGGAAGGAGTTGGAATGGGGGCGGGGAAGAGGCGGGGCAGGGGTGGGGCCTCATGGAAGGGGTGGAGGGGGGCAGGATGGAGCCAGGGGCGGGTCGAGCACCCACGGGAAAGGGGGGGAAGTCGGCACCTATGACCACAGATGGATACAGACAGATAGTGGCTCGATATTTCCTTGTGCTGCCCTACCGCTCAGCCTGTTCTCAGCACCCTAATCTGTTGTCGACTGTTGAGGCATTGTAGCAGAGGGGGGTTTTGAGGAGAGATGTGAAGGGGACACTGAGGTGGCTTTGGGAGGCTCACAGAAGATCCTCTCTAACGTAAGGAGCAGCATGAGAGGAAGAACAAAGGTGTTTGTTGGGAAATGTAACGAGTGGGTGATGGAGCCTGACATCATGGGCTGGCCAGAGGCAGGAGTCGACAACTCGACAGTGCGCGAGAGATGATCCGCCGGCCGGGGGCAGGCTAGGAAGGCGAGAAGTTTGCGTGGGATGTGATGGACAGAGAAGGGCGATGCGGTCAAAGGGACGAGCTAGGAAAATGACACTCTTGCAGTAGTGTATCTATCTCGCAAGGTATCATTGTGTGCAGGCAGCTTGTGGGCTAGGAGTGGGTCGACAGGCAGGGCCGGCTCTATGCACCAGCAAAGCAAGCAGGTGCTTGGGGCGGCACATTTGCAGGGGCGGCATTCGGGCCATCCTTTTTGTTTGTTTTGTTTGGGGGCCGGCCCTGCGGGCGCTCACCCAGGTAGACACTGCCCCGGCCCCCAAGCTGATGCCGAAGTCCAGGTGGAAGAGCCGCAGCGGGTGGCCAAAGCTGGCCCCGAGACTGAGGTCCAGCAGCAGCAGCGCGGAGGGCGCCCTGGGGCCGCTGTGGTTCGCGCCGCTGGGCCCGGGCGGGCCATCCGACAGGCTCCGACACGTGGAGCACGGGATGCTTGAGCTGGGGGCCACCCCGCAGGGCGCACGGAGCCGCCTGTAAGTGCCACAAGGCAGCCGCCCCCCAGTGCCGCAGCTGGGGCTGGGCGAATCGGCCCGAGCTGCCCAGGGGCTGCGGCAGGGAGGCCAGGAGCAGCAGAGGGGCCATAGAGGGGACCGGTGCCCAGGGCGCTGCCGGGCGGGGCCCACGTCCCGCTCTCCGGGGCTCCGTTCCCCGCTGGCCGCTCCCTCTGAGGCTGCCCTGCCGGGGCGGTCCCCCCAGCTCTGCCCTCCCAATTCCCGGCCGGTCCTGGAGGCAGGAGTCCCAGCTGGAGGGACCCTGGGCTGAGGCGCAGCCCGGAAGCCCCGCTGCTTACCCCGACCCTGCCAGCGCCGGAGTGGGCGGAATCAGGGGCCCCCTGGGTTCCGGGAAGGAGTCGGGTGGATGCAGCCTCCATCCCTGCTAGTGTCATGAGTAGGATGCAGATGACCCGCCCTGGGAGCGAGTTACCAGTGACCCAGGGCTGGGGCAGCAGGGGGTGCGGGTGGGGGGGTGAGAGCCCAGGGCTGGGGCGGCAGGGGGTGCGGGTGTGGGGGGGAAGAGCCCAGGGCTGGGGCAGCAGGCGGGGGAGCCCAGGGCTGGGGTGGGGGGCAGCCAAAAATGTTTTTGCTTGGGGCGGCAAAAACCCTAGAGCCGGCCCTGCCGACAGGAAGCATAAAGTATTCATGCGGAAAGGGAATTAACTCTCCATATGCAGGGGACTGAAGCACCATGTGCCGTAATCAACAGCACTGCTTCCTTGTTTTGAACTGCTCCCTAGGCAGGTGGTTTTCTTAAATACCCACCTGCAGTGCACCGTAAGCATCCATTAGCCTGCTCTGGCATAGCGCTGCCGGGCACTGCAGCCTTGTTTTCTGTCCAAGTTCCTGTTTGAGCTGAACTTTCTCCTCTTTCCTTTTGGAAAGTTCATAAGCGTCCATCCCATCAGTCCTAGTTTGTTTCCAAGGTGGCCGCATAATAAAAGCGTAATAAAGTTGGCTGCATAAGGAATGCCCTGTTCCTCTAGAGGATTCTTGGCCATCTTTCAGAGACAGATGCAGTAACAACATGACTGGAGGCAAAATTCCAGATCCTGCTGCATCAGAAAGTCAGGCAGGCCTAGAGGCTTCACTGTGGTAGGGTGACCAGACATCCCGTTTTGGCCGGGACAGTCCCTTTTTTAACCCCTGTCCTGGCCGTGCAGCCTTTTCTGGCAACTGATCAAGTTGGAAAGAGCAAACGGGACAAATGTCGATTTTTGTCAAAGAGGAGGGTGAGCGGCGATGCCGGCACGGCTCAGGCGAAGGGCAGACAGGGTGCGAGCGAGCAGCAATGCCAACTCCAGCCTCGCATCGCGGAGGCAGGCAGGGCTTGGCTGAGCAGCTCAGGCCAGCCCCATGCCAGGAACGGGGGCAGGGCTTGGGCCAGCCCCGTGTTGGGCAGGGGGGAGCCCTGAGGCTAGGCCCAGGCAGTGTCCCGTTTTCCCTTTGGGAAATATAGTCACCCTACACCAAGGATCTACTGGGGAATGGATTCTATGCCCTTTCCTTCTGTCCACCCCAATGGAGCAGGAAGTGAAATAGATTACACGGCCACTCCCTGAGGGCTGAAGAGAAGCCAAAGCAGACCACTGGGCCTGGCCCCTCTCCCTCAGAAGAAAACTTGAGCTACAAGTGGTGGGGAGAGCGTGGGTCTCCTGAGGGGTTCTATTGAGAGGGGTCCTGGGTCAGCCCTAGATTCACTAAACCTCCATGGATTTCACATTTGGGTCTAAAACTAGCTGAATTTGCATGGTTCGGGCACAGAAGTTTCATACAACTCTCCTGGCAACCCTGCCATCATCTCTTCTGTAGCTGGAGTGATGCTAAATATTATTTATTTATTTATTTGTATTGCATAGCCCCTAGGTGCCCCAGTCATGGAGCAGGACCCTATTGTGCTAGGAGCTGTACTTACAAAACAAAAAGATGACCCCCACCCCACAAGGGCTTACAATCTGAGTATACAATAAGAGACAACAGGTGGATGCAACAGCTATATTCTGGTTTTCTTTCTATAGAGTAATACCAGTCTTCAGCTTTTCGTGCTTTTTAGATTAAAATCTCTTTGTGGTGTCCCCTTTTATTTCTGTGGATTCAGTGGTAGCCTACAACTTTTTCTGATCTAGTGTGTGAAACGTGACTCTAAACATGGCTTAGTGGTATGCTGGATTTCTCTTAGAAAAATGCGTTTTACCTGTAAACTAACTGACTATGGACGTTGTTATAATTGTAGACTTGCAAATTCAACTTGGGATCTGAAAGTCAAGCTGAGCACTTTGTCTCATCACTAGCCAGAGATTTTGTAGCTGGAATTCTGTAAATGACTTATTAGCCAGAACCTATCTAGCTCCTGCTCTCATAGCTAATTAGTTCAGCAGGGCTAATTGAGCTAAAAAAAAAATCTTATTTCTGCCTGTAAAAATCAGCATCTGTAACTCTGAATAGACAAGGGAATGGATCTGTTAAGTAGCCATTTTGATGTAATCCTATTTCTGACCAGAACCTTCAAAGGAGGTAAATAAAATTACAGTAAATGGAGCTGAAAAAGCATCTGTGGCATTTAGTCCTACTCTAGAGATAGGGACCGAGGCTCTTGGAAGGAATTATAATATTCATGTATATAAATATTGCTTAAATAACTGACAAATAGGAATGATTTGAGTGCAGGCAGCTTTCTGGAAGTCTTGTTTTTCTACACCAGTGGTTCCCAAACTGGGGTTCGTGAAATGTTACAGGGGGTGCTTGAGAAAAAAAATTTCCTAATGGCTGCCAGAGCTGTCCCTAGAGACCCCGGGCAGCCCGGGCCCAGCAGCCCGGAGCCCCTGGACTTCCAAGAACTAAGCAGATCAAAGCAAGCATCGCTATCACACTCAGGAGATTTAAACTTCAAGATTCCTTATAAGAAATGGAAAGGGAGGTGAATATTTTTTGCTGTTGTTAAAATTAAATAGGCAGCTAGTGTTGTTTTTAAAAGTATTATGAAGAACAAATTTTAAGCTTTGTTGTAACGTGCGTTGTTTGCCTGGACTGCTCAAAACCTGAATGCTTGTGTAGGAGAAACTCTTTGAGTTGGCTTCTTAAATCCCTTCATGCTGTTTCACATCTGATACTCCTTGATGAAACATAGGAGCCTTGTCTTATAACAGGCTTATTCAAAGAGATACAAGCTACGAAAGTGAGATCTTGGAAGAGTGTTGCCATTTTCATAATGTAATACAAATACTGTAATGATAAATAATAATTAATAATAGCGAGTAATAAGCAGGACCGGCTCCAGGGTTTTTGCCGCCCCAAGCGATCGGCAGCAGCTCCACCGCGCCGCTTTCTTCTTCGGCGGGAATTCGGCGGCAGGTGCTTCCCTCCGAGAGGGACCCGCTGCCGAACAGCCCGACGTGCCGCCCCTTCCCCTTGGCCGCCCCAAGCACCTGCTTGCTGGGCTGGTGCCTGGAGCCGGCCCTGGTAATAAGCATGTCATAAAAACAAATTTTATATTTCCAAGATCACTGTTTTTATAATTTATACTCAGGTAAAGGAGAAAATCCCTGGAAATATACATTTTTAGGAGGGGGGGTCGCCAGACTTGACATTTTAGTGAAAGGGGTTCACAGGTTGTTAAAGTTTGGGAGCCACTGTTCTACACCAAAATCTCTGTGCCATCAAAAAGAAACTCCAGAGAACTGATTTGTTAAGAATTGAAGCACAGTCCCCCTGACCCTTTATAGGACTATAGCAATATAAATCTGAAAGGCACCAGTTCTTCAAACAAAAAGAGATGTGTATAGATTATTCTTTTATTGCTTGAAATTGCTAATGCAGTCTGGCTATTGATGCAATTTATTGCAATTGTACAGTAAAATGATACCGCTGCATGGCTCGGTTGTATCATGGGCCCTCATCGCCCTTTTTCAATACTGCCATAACAAACTATTAAGATCGTAAAAAATGAATATAAAGTGTTTGCCCAGAAACACAGGGTAATGAAATCTAGAGGGTTAGCATTGTCTTTCGAGGTTAGTCATTCTTGTTCGAAAGCTTCCACGCCCAGAATACCAGGGTTCAGTAGGATTTGACTAGAATGGTTTGGATGAGAGTAAGAGAGCGTGGCCGTCCCTCCCTGTCAGTCTTGGAGGGAGGCCACACCCCCTCACTGTCTTGTTCCACAAAAGGCAGTCTGGAAAAGGGGGTGGGGATTAGCTATCTTTGGCGCCCAGGCCCTCTGAGCTGGGTTGGGCACAAGCCCTCAGGCAGGGTAGAGCCCCAAACTGTCTAAAGGGCTCTGGCCCTCAAGCAGGGAGGGCAGTAAATAGTCTAGGAGCCCAGGCCTCAGGCAAGGCAGAGTACCCAATAGGCTAGGGGACTCTGGCCTCCAGGCAGGGCAGAGCAGTGAATAGTCTAGGGCCCAGATCCTATGGCGGGGCACCAAGCTCCAGCCCTCAGGCAGGGAAGAGCAGTACAGGATCTAGTGTCCTAGCTCTGGTGGACGGTAGACTAACGCAGGCCTCCTGATCTAAGGCGGGGAGGCTGCCATCCCAGGGATGGAGTGGTAGGGGGACCTGGGCCCACCCTACTCCACCAAGTGCTAGCCCAGAGCCCTAACAGTGGCGGAGCATTCTGCTACTGGGTCAGCAGGGATCCAGCCACAACACACTGACCTGGGTTCACGCAGCCAGACTACAGTTAGCTGTCCCTGGGCCACTTCCTCCCCTCCCCTCGGGATGTACCTAGATCCAGGGTCATCCTCCATCTCCCCAGGGTACACCACCAACGGTAGTCCCAGCAGCTCCTCGGTGTCGGTAATGGCGGGACTCTCTGGAAGCTCAGGCAAGTCCTCGGGGCAACAGAGGTCCTCCTCGGCGTCCCACTCTGGCAGCAGTGAAGAAATGTCTTTCTCCCTCAGCAGTTCCAGCACAACTGAGCTGTCGGGCCCGCCTTTTGTACTTCCTGTTCCTGTCCCGCCTCTCTGCTTCTGGTGGGGTGGG